TTTCCAGGCTTTCCCAAAGATCCTCTGCAGAAGAAAAGTCAAGCTGAACATCCTCATGTACTGCTACTTCATATGCTGCCAAGAACATTCCGCAGGTACTAGGAGGTGAGGGGTGTATATTCCTCCAGTTTGCCCCACAAGTTTGGGTCTTTTTTTTTTTTTTTTAAGTATAAATATATACATAAATACATGTAATCGTAGCAGATTATTCACACACACACAAAAAAGGGAAATAGTTAAACCATACATGGGGTAAAAGGGCATCATTATAGCTTATAAAACAAAGCATTCAAAATGCACAATGTGATAAAGTATATGACAAAGCAGCATTAAATATTCAAAATGGTGAAAAGAAGAATCTTTCCATAGGTTTTTCATGTATTATGTCAAAAGACTCAATTGACCACATGGACTGCTTTATACTGATAGAAACGAGCCTACTATTTCCTTTCTTGAGTAATCCTTGGCTGAGAAAACACGCCATTAAAGAATCTATCACTTTAGAAAGAAGAAAAGTCAAGCTGAACACCCTCATGTACTGCTGCTTCATATGCTACTAAGAACATTCCGCAGGTACTGGGAGGTGAGGAGTGTATATTCCTCAGATTTGCCCTGCAAGTTTGGGTCTTTTTTTTAAGTATAAATATATATATATAAATATATGTAATCATAGCAGATTATTCACACACACACACAAGAAAGGGAAATAGTTAAACTATACATGGAGTAAAAGGGCATCATTATAGCTTATAAAACAAAGCATTCAAAATGCACAATGTGATAAAGTATATGACAAAGCAGCATTAAATATTCAAAATGGTGAAAAGAAGCATCTTTCCATAGGTTTTTCATGTATTATGTCAAAAGACTCAATTGACCACATGGATTGCTTTATACTGATAGAAACAAGCCTATTTCCTTTCTTGAGTGATACTTGGCTGAGAAAAAAACGCCATTAAAGAATCTATCACTTTAGAAACTAATATTATTTTTCTCCAGAAGTTAGTTTTCTTAAGGTTATAATAATCAGTTACCTGTAGCTGCATTCCTCTGCTGGAACTTGGTTAAATATAAATTCATTCCTTTCCGGAAGTCCTGAGAACATACAGTTAAATATGTTAAGGGCACCAAACGGAGGCTCTTGCTGTACTCCCTTTGCACTGCACTTGTATTCCAGAACCAGGCAAAGAATCCTAGGATGAGTAACCCCCTTCTGAACTGTGCCACTAGACAGAACAGCTCACAACATGTTGTTGGCCAGCTTTTAATATTTAAATAGTTAAACTGATGATTTTTCCCATTCATTAATTCCCACTTATCTTATTTCTCCCCTGTAGGTTTAAATACAGCCCAAAACAAAGTGGAAAAAAAGTTTTCAAAACACAAATTATGCAGTATTTGAATTCAAAACCAGCTGTTTGTGACTATTACAAGATTTGACAATCTACATTAAACTTTTAAACAGGAATCTATTTACCTCATCACCAATGTAGTCATGTAGCATTCGGATTACAGATGCTCCCTTGCTGTAAGAAATAGCATCAAATATTTCATCCACTTCAGCTGGATGGCCAACACTAACCTGTGGTAAACAGGATAATTCGTAGTGAGAACAATTTTAATCACTGTAAGATTTTGATCTTGCTTGTTCTGTTGTTTAAGGGGAAGGTCCATCCATCACCATCACTAGCTTGTCTTGATGGAAGGAATTTCTTGGCATCCAATGACATATAAATCAATCCTGATGCTGCCATATGTTAAGCATATTTAACTTTGCTTTTGATATTTAAGCAGTAAATTTCTGTAGCTACTTTACTGTGCATGAAGAACAGAAAACGACCCACTTTGATCAGAAACCAAAACAAAACACAAGTAATAGTAACTTTGCCATTTTAAGTCAGTAGAACAGCAAAACTCAACAGCAAAACAGAAGCCATCATCAAATCCTCAAACCTTATTTCCTAAATCCTAATTTTAGTAGATTACATTCAACATGTAAATGCAACCTTCTATTTTCCTCTGCATTATGGGATGACTGCAAAGTTCCCCTTTTTCCTCCTAACAGGAAAAAAGCTTACACCCAGCTGAAAAAAAGGAAGAAAAGCAATAGCTGAAAGACAGTACTTACTTCAATGGGATGACTGTTGTCTAAGGCATCGAGCTCTTGAGCTCGTGTGTAATCAGCAGAAACAAACTGAGTCCAGATATCATACTCTGGGAAACAGTGGTCTACACACAGGTACTCAATCCAGGAAGCAAATCCTTCATTCAGCCAGAGATGAGTCCACCATTCCTAGAAGGATTTAAGCACAGAATGGAGAGAGAGTTAAAAAAACATTGCATCTACTCAATAAGCAGCCTGTAGATCAGGAATGAGACAGGTATCACTTCTGTAAGCACAGATTTCTCTCTTTAAAGAAGTTTTGGATCACGAGCGGCCTCCAAGGTGCTTGCTGGCAATCTATAACATTGCCTAGACTTCCAATTCTGGCCCTCCTCGCTCCCAGCTGCTCACCTGCATTAAGGCCAAAAATGGATTATTTTAGTATTACTGTTCCATGCAAATATGTTGTGGCTCTCACGTGGATGAGGGAGTTCCCTGTGTTAGCACAAATGAGAAGACACAGCTGACTAGATTTGAAGATGCGGAGCACTATGGAGACTCTGCAAACTCCTGCTCAGTGCTTTAGTTACTGTTTACATTGCGATTCTCTTCCCTCTACACACATTCCAGCTTAGGAGCCCGACAGTCGGAGCAGCACCGATCTTCCAGCCTGTGAGGCCATGTTCTTTTTACCAAACATGGTGGTTTCTAACAGAAAAAAACCTTCCTATTCTGGGAAATGTTTGGGTTCAGGTGCGTGTTTGCAGAGCTTAGGGAGAAGGAATGTCAAATCTAATTAACAGAGTAGGCTGAAACTATTTGGTAATAGCAGAAGCTATGAAAGATGTGCACTAGATGAGATGTCTTTCTGCCTCTTACAATGCTTCTATTCTGACCAAAACGCCTTAAACATCAAAGCATTCTGACACCTGGCTCCTCATATATCCAAAATAGCTCGTATGAGTTACTACAGAGCAACTTTTCAACTACTGCAGCAGAATAAGTTGTACTGCTGAATTGATACTGATATGCCCGCTTGGTATGAAAGCCTGATGAGTGATTTATCCCTGCACGAAAGGAAAACGCTAGTTTATCGCTTCTCAGCGATCTGACTGCCCCAAATCATTCCAGGTTTCCACAGAACACCTGCTCAGCTGGAACTGGGGCTGTACTCAGACAAGTGAGCATTATTTCACACAGAAAAGATTGAGGAATAGTTTTAAAGAACACACTAGTAAAGAAGAAAGTGCTAATAAAAAACTATGACTTAAATATTTTTTTAATTACTTTGAAGGAAAATGCTTGTTATCAAAGGGATATTTGAGAAAGCAACACAGTTTTTGAAGTACATGCCAAAAGGAAAATAGAAGAGATACTTGAACTATTAGATACCATGGTCACGAGGTTTCCAAACCACTGATGAGCAAGCTCATGTCCTACAACCAGAGCTACCCACTGGCGAGATGAAGAACAGGAATTTTTGGGGTCAATGAGCAACGCGGTCTCCCTGTATTTAAGAAAGAAAGAATTGAACTGAATGTTATATGCTTAGGGGAAAAAACACAAAACTAAAACATTAAAAACAGGTTATATTACCTAAGCAGGCTAAAAAGTGATCAGTACAACAGAAAAAAATAAAAAAAAATCTAAGAAACTAAAAAACCCAAAAGCTATTTCATTTTGCGCATTAAAGTGGTTTGGTTAAGTTCCACAGCTGCTGGAAATGCTTTGGAGCAACAATTCCTTATGGCATGCAAGAAGACAAGTGCAAAAACCCAGGCAGGAACAAGAAAATGAATCCTGTGTTTAGAGAATAGCTCACCTAGATAGTCTAGCGAGAAGGGCCGGGCAGGGGACGCAACCTCACCTGAGCTGCACCTCCCTTTGCACCGCAGGATAAAGGCAGAGGAAGCCTCTCCCTCCCTCATCCAGAAGGGATTCCCACTCTTCCCAGGGCACAGGCAGCCCTCTCACATCTGCCCTGCAGCTGCACAAGGAGCATCCTCACGGGCCCTGCGTTAGCACCCACCCTTGGGCTGTGCGTGCCCAGCACGACCAGCACTGAATCAGCCAGGAAAGATTCCCGGATTCCTGCGGCTCCAAGGGGGTGGAAAGCGCTTCCCAAAATATAGTTTGGGCCTGCAGATTATGCCAGCCTTCTGTCCCCAAAGGGATAAAGCAAGCGTGCCAAAGCGAGCGTAAGGGAAGAATGTAACACTAAAATCAAGAAAGGCTTCCAAAAATTCTACTCATCCAGGACAAATATTTTTTTCCACTGGGAGCAAGGTATCAGATTTCACCAGAGTTGCAATAAGCAAACAAGTACGTTTTAAGCCTGGGCTCCAATTTCCATTACAAATTTTAAAAGCCAAATTTAAAGATTAGCAGAATAAACGCAAATGATTTCAGGATTCAAGTCCAAAGTTTGTAAGTCCAATGTTACACTAAACAGAGATAGATTGTTCTAGCAATGAGGACAGATAATATAAGAATATCAAGCAAACATACAAAAGCTTGATCAGGTTAACAAAAAACTGAAAAGGAAGGCAAGTTAATAATTTTAATTACTCAAACCCACATGCTTATACTGTGGTGGCTGAGATTGACCAACTTGCCTACAATATAAAACAAGAAAATCTTTAAGCTGTGTCAGTAAGAACATAACTTTTATGGGGGAAAAAAAAGCAGCCAAGAAAGTTCTCTTGTAGAACAGGCAGTGCTGCCAGACACTTAAAAATCTCACACCCTTGGACAGTAGTCATAATAGCTCATTCTTGCCTTCCTAAGGTTGGTACAATAACGCACGCTGCTACAGAAGTCAAAATTAACCAAACTGAAGACAGAGTAAATACCTTCAGCTCTAGCTTATTTGGGTTGATACCCAGTCATTACAACTTCCTCAAACTAATTCAATTATTTCCAAAAATTAGTGAACAAAGAGGGGGAAAGACAGTATTTTAACAGCATACCTATAAGTAACAAGGCCCCAGTTCTCCATGGCACCTTTATAAAATAAATACAAAGGTTTATTGATATTGATACACACCTCTTCCTAAATGTTTAAAATTCAAATAAAACACAGTTCATCAATAAAGTGAGTTACTTTACCAGCAGCAAAGTCTGCAATAGCTATGAGATCAATTTTAGGAAGAGGGTAAGGAACATTGAAGTAATCCTTATAAAAAGGCAGAGTTTTAGCAGCAACCTGTAAGAGATAAAGGAGAAACCTAGTAATTATTATGTTACCTTTGAGCAACAGGTCAAACTCGAGAATTTCCTCATGGCTCAAATTAGCCCAAGAAATCAATATAGAAAGGTTTTGTTTCAGAAATTGCACTGACAAGTTCCAGGGCAGCACAGCACAGGACCTCACACATCCCATCCCCTTTCCTCCCCACCAGGCTATACCTGCCCTTCAGAGTTTCCAGTGTCTTTGGACAACAGCACATCACCAAATCCTAACAACTGAATTAAAATATACGTTTTTTGTCATTACCTATTGTAATGTGGCCACATTTTTAAACAAACAACCCCCCTGCAACCCTCTGAAGTTTTACACGATCTGCATGACTAAACCAGCACGGAGGTGTTCAGCCCGCCACATTTCCGTGGCAATGATGAAATCCCTCTGAGCACATTTACCTCTAACGCAAACTTTCCTTGCTCTGCTTTGCCCACAGGGGTGTAAACGCGCACCAAGACCCCATCAAGCGACCTGGTCTCTACAAAGTCATATTCTCCCACCACGAACGCCACGAGGTACGTGGACATCACGGGGGTGCGGGCGAACTTCACTTCCACGAGGTTTTCGTCGTCTGGGTACGGCTTCCGGTCGATGACATTCTGTCAACACGGAAGGGAATGAGTTAGTTTCGTGGAAGTGAAACTGCATTACGCAATACAATTGACTAAATATTTATCATTAGGAGTCAAACATTTCCAATGAAGTAATTTCTTGTACGGTTTTAAAATACTGACCACATCTAAGTTTCCTGCGTAACTGAAAAGACACACATATGTCAGTGTACTCTCATAATATAAATACATTTCATTACTGCAAAAGTTGCTGAATAAGTTTGCTATCGAGTTGCTATCATCCAAAGAGGATTACCCAATTCTCATTTCATTTAAATTCTGACACAAAAAGCTTGAACCATTTGATCATTGGGCAAGGCTAACTTTTAGTGCTAACTAAGCAAGTTAAAGTTACGGGAATAAGGATCTACTGTCAAACTGACTGGTCTTTTCTAGAAACATCTTCTAAAAATATTTGTACCTATATTTAAAATGGGAACCTGAAAATGCTACTTTATATTTTTTGTGACAGAAGTACTACTAGTTGCACATTTTAACCCCGTTCTGGTCAGAAATTCTCTAGGGTAGAAATTATGCTTATTTTTCTCAAGTGCTATGTCTGCTTATATAGCTAGAACAGCTATATAAACAAGCAGAGGGTTATTTTTCAGTCATTCTTAATCAAGCAGCACGTGGCATGACATATGCTAAGGCTTTTTTATTTTAAACAAACAAGGCTGTAGTCTGCACAGCCTGTTTAGGTTTTATGCTAGACTGACATCACAGCAGTTCTTTCCATTTAGAAATGCATAGCAATAGATAGGAGTGCCACATTCCTAATTCTGTCTGTCACTAAAACACATTATCTTTCAAATTATTGCCTGGCTTTAGAACAGTTTTAATAAAGCTAGAGCACTGTTTTATTTAAAACACAGCTTACTTACCATATTTGACAAAGCTACTCTGTCTTTAGGGACCACCAATGAAATATCAAATGTTGCCTTGATGGCAGGTTCATCCCAGCAAGGGAAAGCTCTGCGAGCATCAGTAGCCTTAAGGAAAAAATAGCATTAACCAAATCAATTTTTCACAAGATGTTGTTGCAATAAAACAGACAAATTCACTATATTCTGTAGGCAAGAAGCTAGGTGAACTACAGCTAGTCACTGTATCAAGAGTCTCCTCATTCTTATTCCTTGATCCATAATTAGGGCATTTCTGTGATAGTTTATCCTACTGTGATAGTTTATTTCTGCTTAAAACCACAGCTGAGCAGCACTCTGTGCTCTGATGGAATTCTACAGTCTGAGCAAATTTTAGCAGAGTCATGAGAGGAGCAAAGCTCAGTCATGTGAAAGCAGAGCAGGCACCCAGGCGTTCATAGGCAGAACATACAAGACCACCTATTTTTATTTTATTAACTAGATTGCACACAAGAAACGTTCTATTTGTACTAGGTAACTACTCCATGTTTTTACGTAACCAGGCAGATAACCATGAAATTACAGTATGGTGTAAAATTCTGTCAGTATGTCCAGAGTTTACATAATACTTGAGATAGCATCCAAAATACGAGCCAGATGCTATGAAGATACTGACAGAAAGCCAGAGTACTCTATTAAAATATTAATATACTTCATGAAGGCAATTTATAACAAGAAACTTGACCACAGCTACATAAAGAGCTGTTTTTAAACACTGCAGCTATTGTACATATATCATGTACCACATACAGGCATGAGCCTTGGCTGGGGATTTTGCCAAGTCCTCAATTTACTGACCTTCAAGTCACAGTGCAAAGACTGCCCTTGGTGTTACCCAGCCACTTCCAGAAGAAGCAAAAAATAGGGATTTTTGGAATTTACACAGAAGTTATGGCGACAGCTAGAAAATTAGGTCTTTGCTTCTTTTATGAAGATCAGCAACAGCAAAAATATAGCCCATACCTCAAACTGAGTGACAGCAGCGTAGCGCGTATCTCCAGTCGGGGTGGTATATTTACTTCGGTAAAAACCTTTCATTTTATCATTCAGCTCCCCTACAAAGTCTATCTTTAACGTCCCTGTCCCTGAAACGAAAACAGATGGGACACTGTTATTTGCATGTGACAAACAGAACATTTATTTGGTCTGGACCTTGAGGCCAGGCTACTTAGCTGGCCCACTGCCCTTCTGAAATAACATGTCACTAACTCGCCTCAGCCCATCATTTTCTTGCAAGTCTCCCTCAAATCCTCCAGTTTCTCTATA